TGATTTTCTTGACTCGCTTTTGTTTGATATTTATGAATATCAGAAGAATTGTAGTGTCACTGTGGAGATTTTAACAGTAGAATGGGAAACATGAATGATTATATTGAAGGTATTGATTATATATGTGAGTGAAATGTCATTGATTTTGTAAAAAATAGGTATGGTGATATTTTCTTATTAAAAGCAGTATGTGTATTTGAATGGTAGAAATTGTGATATTAGTGATTTTACTTCTGTCTCAACACGTGGGTAAGCCGTGGTGGACTATTGCATATTACCCAATGAAGATCTCGGATGTTACAACAACTTTAATGTGGAGCATGCAAGTGAGCTCGTCAACAGAGTGTGTGGATCACAGAGTCGACTCTCACTTGGTCCCTGATCACTCGCTGCTAACCTGGTCATTTAATGTGAATGAACATCTGTACGAAAAAGAGGCTAGTAACGTAATATCTCAAGTTCGAGCTGTCTGATGTACCACAACATTTTCTCTCTGACCCAGAGACTATGCAGTTAATCAGAGAGAACATAGACAAACTTGAAGCGGCCTGTGAATCACAATTATCTGTGGATTCTTCATACCAAGATTAGCTCGTCACGCCATAGACCCGGGTTCGATTCCCGACATGGGTACAATGTGTGAAGCCCATTTCTGGTGTGCCCCGCCGTGATATTGCTGGAATATTGCTAAAAGCGGCGTAAAACCGTACTCACTCACTCACTCACTCACTCATACCAAGAATTTTGTAACGTAGTAAGGGGTGAAATGAAGAATCAGCTAAATCACAGAAATATGGTAATATCTGTTTCCAATAGCAACAAGCGACGTAGAATTAAGAAAGAGTGGTGGACAGAGGAGTTAACACTTAAATGGAAAGAACTCTGTAGACACGTGAAGAATTGGATAAAACATGAAGGTAAAGACAAAGCACAACAGAGGATTGTTTTCAAAGCTAAGAGGAAAGACTTTGATTGCTGTGTTCAGCGAGCTAAACGTAGACACGTTAGGAAGATTCAAGAAGAAATAGCAAGTCTAGTTGATAAGCCAGATCAACGATTCTGGAGGACTATAGGAAAGGTTGGAGTGGGTAATCAGCGACGACGACGGATACCCATGGAAGTGGTCACTGGAGACGGGTCTATTTCAAAGTCGCTCCCTGTTGTCCTTGATCGGTGGAAGAGTAAATATGAGCAGCTTCTCAACATTACCTATATGTTGAGACCGATGAGCCGCCAATTAAACTACGCCGTATTAAACTATCTTTGCAGTATATCACAAAATGTTATTCTAATCCATCAAACCCTGCATACAATTGTGTATTTAATCCTCTTTATGAGGATCTGTACAGTAAGAAGTCATCTCTTATTCTGCCACTCCTTTTATCACTACCGCAAATATTGATCTGGAAAATATAGCTCCTTTTCGCCTGCCTACTTCTACTCCTTGGCAGTTGGTATAGCCACGGGTGGATCTTACCTTATCTAAACTTTAAAAAATCAACTACAATATCAACAAGAATATGATCAGTTAAGAAGTGAATATGATACTTATAAATCTAATTTTACTGCTAGATCAAAGGATGGTGATGCTGTTGCCAGCGCCACTATCATTGGATCCAGAACTTTATCAACTCGATTACCTGATAACATCAATTATTTTCGCAGCTGAATCAAAGGCTATTTTAACTGCTTTAGAATATATTAATAAACAGACTAAACATAAAGAATTCATAATATTTTCAGGCTCTCTCTCCTGTCTTCAGGCTATTAAAAACACTTCATGTCAGCATCCAATTTTACTCGGCATCATAGAACTACATAACAAACTTGCTACTGGCCAATACGACATCGTCTTTTGTTGGCTTCCCAGCCATGTTTGAATTGTTGGTAATACAATGGCCAATACTGCTGCAAAAGCAGCACTCGACAAATCTGTGACACCACTTCTTATACCATACAGTGATTATAAACATGTCATTAAATCTTACATCAGAGATCTAATGCAGAAGAAGTGGGACACCCATGTGGGTATAAATAAATTACATGCAATAAAAGGAAATATCGGTTATACCTACTTGGGTTGTCAGTCCAGATTGGAAGAGGTTGTATTAAGACGATGTCGTATTGGTCATTCTCGTTACACTCATGAACATTTGTTAAAATGTGAGAATCCTCCATTTTGTATCCCTTGTGATGAAAGAATCACGGTCAAGCATGTCCTGCTTGACTGCATTGATTTTTCCATCACAAGGAATAATTATTTCAAAGCTTCATCGCCCAAGGATCTTTTATCATCTGTTAAGGTTTCATTTAATTCTTGCTTTTTTAAAAGAAATTGACTCAATTCATAAATTTTGATTGTTATGTTTTGTAAATATATAAACTCATTTTATAATCGCTTGAATAAATAAATATCTGTGATTGTTAGTGGCTATATCCTCGAAGTGGGTTAAAGTAGCGTAAAATTATTGTCTCCTTGAGAGGATATGTAAGACCACGTCTTTCAAAGTATATTTATTTCAGCCACGTTTTAATCGCAGTATATATGTTCCTTTAAATTGTGGCTAAATTGGTCAATAATCGCCAACAGCTGAGGGGATGATGTAAATCCGGCTGGGGTCCATGCAGGTAGCAAAAGTACCGTTAGTCCCAATGGACCCCAGCATGGTGATCTACCTTCAGATGCTGGCGATCTATAGCCCTTTTTTATATTGTAATGTTTCATGACTATTTAGTGATATCTTTTTATTGTTGTACGCTAGTTTTATACATTAAATCTGTGATATTCTAGTAATTTTACTGTCCATCGCTGATAGGTTCTTGTTTGGTTTAAATACGAGGGACGATTGATAAGTTCTAAGCCTAACAAAGAAAATAAAGTCAGTTTGATACCAAAGCCTTCTATTTTTCGACATGGTCCCCTTTAAGGTCAACACACTTCTGCCAGCGATGTTGCAATGCCATTATGCCACTTCTGTAGAAGTCAACTTCTTGGTCACTCAAAAATTGTTGACCGCTTTAATAACGCCATCATCTCACTGGAAATGAGTTCCAGCTAAATGCCTTTTCAACTGTGGGAACAGATGATAGTCCGACGGAGCCAAATCAGGTGAATAAGGTGGATGTTGGAGAAGTTCAAAGCCACACTCATGGATTTTGGCCATTGCTATCAGTGAGCACACCTTTCGTCAACTTTCGTCGCGTAACTTTAATTTTCTCTCTTAACTGTCTCAGAAGTTCCACATAGTAAGCCCCTGTAACAGTACGGCCTTTAGGAAGCCAGTCCACCACGATCCCACCTTCAGAATCCCAAAACACGGATGCCATGACTTTCCCAGCTGAAGGCACAGACTTTGCCTTCTTTGGAGAAGGAGATGTGACATGTTTCCACTGTTTAGACTGTTGTTTTGATTCAGGTTAAAAGTGGTGAACCAATGTTTCGTCCATTGTAACAAATCGTTTGAGAACGTTATCTGGATCACTTCAAAAAGCTTGAGGTTCTCCCTTGAGAGATTCTCTCTTTGACGTTTCTGATCAGCTGTCAACAGTTTGGGGACCCATCGAGCAGAAACATTGTGCATTCCTAGAATATCTGTCAGAATGAAATGCACTCGCTCCTGAGAGATGTCCACTAAGTTGGCTATCTGTCGCTGTGTCACTCGTCGGTCGTCCATGACTATGTCCAGGATTCGCTGTACCATTTCAGGTCTTGAAGACACAACAGGTGGACCAGGACGGGGTTCATCATCAGTGCTCGATCGCCCCCGTTTAAACTCTGCCACCCATCTTTTCACTGTTGCATATGACGGGGCATCTTCCCACAGTGTGGATAACATATCCTCACATATGGTATTGGGTGTTAAGCCTTTCTTGTAAAGGTATTTGATAACAGCTCGCTTTTCCTGTTTCTCCATTTTAAGTCATCTCATAACACCCCTTTCAGTCAACAGCTTATACTAAACTAAATAATGTGTCCAGTACAACAACCCTCCTGTGTATGTCACTGTACTTGATCAGTCTATCACCACCACAAAGGAATTCATCCGTACCACACTCCTTCAGAGGTAGGCTCACAACTTATAAATCGCCACTCGTATATGGATAGATAATGTATAACTTCTCGTCACGATATGGCTGAAAAAATTGCCGATGTGACGTAAAGCATAAACTCACTCACTCACTTCTATCACATTTCTATGAATTCGTGTGACGGTGTAAATGAATACATGTGTGATATCAATGAACGTGTATATTTATTATGAAGTAGGTGCTATATGTTTCAAGATATGTGTTCTGACTTCCGTCGCAAATAACACATCAGTACACTACGACCTGCGTCTTATCGGCGCACTATCCTTGTTACACTTATCTACACTGACCATAAATCGATTTGAGCAGATGTGTAACAGCGCCTGTAGCTTTGTGGTGTTCTGTACACGTGGTTATGGTTTTTTGTTTAACGCCGCACTCAGCTTTATTCCAGCTATATGACGGCGGTCTGTAAATAATCTAGTCTGGACAAGACAATCCAGTGATTAATATCATGAGCATCGATCCACACAATTGGGATCGATGACATGCATCAACCAAGTCAGCGAGCCTGACCACCCGATCCCGTTAGTCGCCTTTTACGACAAGCATAGTCACCTTTTACGGCAAGCATGGGTTGCTGAAGACCTATTCTACCCCGGAATCTTCACGGGTCCCGTACACGTGGTACCTTCCTACTCGAGATCAACCTTTTTTCCTCTCCCATCACTTGTCCAGAGTCTCAGTATATACGTAAAATCGAGTGCCATGTCCCTGTTTTTTTCAGTGCATGCACTGCGGTGTGGTTACGCGTTTCTCACTGAACACGCTCATGCACTTGAATACACACCCATTTGAGTCCTACCTTATATCTGATCAGGATTATGAGACGTGCCCTCACTGATAGTGTACAACGTGGACTTTACACACATCTGATCATGAGTTAACAACGTGTCATCATGATCTGCTATGCTTTCAACCAATCACATGAGAGGCAAGACAGACTCGAACGCCTCAAAAAGACTTTCCCGTAGTTAGGCGAGCAGTGCAGGGTTTGTGGTCAAGAGTTCGTCTCGAGGCTCGGTCGCGTCCAGTTGTCCATTAGGTAAGGAGCCTTTACTGTCCAGTAAGTTAAAATCTATACTGGTGTGCGAGTGTACATGAATGTTTGTGTAAGAAATATCAAGATACGGTTCTTTGACCCGTTTCGTCTGGACTTAGGAGTGAGTGAGTGAGTTGGGTTTAACGCCGCTTTTAACAGTGTTCCATTTATATCACGGCATGTCAGCTTAATGTGGGAGGAAAGCCCGAAGTGATGCAGGACTCAGACGTTTACCACTTCGGTGAAACCCACGAGCACGGGTATGGTGCTGACAAACCTAGAAACATAATCGGGGCGAATCGGGATTCGAACCCACAATCATAGGTTTCTAGCGTGCCCAAGGGACGCAAGTCTCCACAGCGAATCGCGGCGCCTGAGACGACTGGGGCCACCCGTGTCCCCTGTGGACTTGGGATGTAGGCAGGAGAAGGCAATATATAGGTAGCCGCTAAAATGTCCCACTTTTTTAATACCGCACTCACACTTAAGCCCGGGTATTACCTTCAGAAGCAATGTCACAACATCGAATGGCGACACTGATGGCACAACCAAAACATCAAACGTAAGTCTGGATATCTGTCCAGATAGTTTAAACTGACTTCATTTCACCATGCTTAACCTTCTACGTTAAATCAATTTCAAAGTCGCAAAAGTGGTCGGGTGCTTCACGCTCATTCCATCGGTAGACATTGCATATGGATATAGCTCGATTATATAATGTCTGCAGCAGCTCGAATTGGTTTGCTTAAATAAAGTGTGTGTAAATGTCTCTCACTTTTGTGAGATTCCTTCAGTTCTGCCTCGCAGGTTTTAAAAAAAATGAAAACAGCAGTTCGGGTGTGACAGAAGTCACGGTTATCCAATCAAAACGAATAAAACTGAGTTTAACTTTGTAGGCCACGTGTGACATACGGATTTAGTATTATAATACCACACGTCACCACGTGGGTAATAAGTGACGATAACACATCCATACTTTGTTAGAAAATACCAGTCAGTTTTTTTTCATGAAGCCATGCGCATGCTCGATGACCGGTGACAACTCGCTGTTAGAGCTACACTTCAATGTACGCTATATCTAATGCATCTTATCACTTTGCACTAACGTGTCCTCACGATGATGACAAGCTGTGTGATACTGACACTATCGACTTTCTGTGGATGCTATGCTATACAAGCCATCAGTGTGACGACATAATATTCGCCTTCAGCCATGGCATGTTTTCAAGTAATGTTTTTCAACAAAATACTCAAACATGGCATATGTTTTCTGAATAAATAATAGGGGCGGTGGGGAAGCCTAGTGGTTAAAGCGTTCGCTCGTCACGCCGAAGACCCGGGTTCGATCCCCGACATGGGTACAATGTGTGAAGCCCATTTCTGGTGTCTCCCGCCGTGATATTGCTGGAATATTGCTAAAAGCGGCGTAAAACCATACTCACTCACTCACTCATTGAATAAATAATTGTGATAGCCGTCTTGGGTACGGTTTGGAAATGATGTTGAACATTATAAAAGTAGGATGAATGAAAACAATTTCCATAGTCTTAAGAAATCTCCACTGAAAGCAGAGTCCATGGTACGATTCATACTACATCATGAATCACTGTCTAATAGTGATTGTACATTGTGTTAGCGAAAAGGTGGGCGTATCCTGGTCCACCGATTACATCTATTGAAAACACAAACAGGGACGAGTCTGTTGTGTCATATTTAGATCTGTGCATACAGAATTTGAATGACAAAAACCCTGCACAAAAATGTATGACAAGAGGGATTACATCATTTATGTCGAGCAGCATTGCAACAGCACCACCCTTGGGTACTCACACACCACAACTTTTGAGGTACAATCGAGCATCCATAAACCTACAACACTCTCAGTCAGACGCCGTTCGACACCCATCATCCCTCTCAGTTTCATCATCCGACCCTCTCAGGCAACACCCTCCAAGCCTCTCAGTCTACACCCTCCAACCCTCTCAGTCTACACCCTCTAAGCCTCTCAGTCTACCCTCCAACCTTCTCAGTTTACACCCTCCAACCCTCTCAGTCTACACCCTCTAAGCCTCTCAGTCTACCCCCTTTAACCCTCTCAGTCGACACCCTCCAATCCTCTCAGTCTTCACCCTCCAACCCTCTCAGTTTACACCCTCTAAGCCTCTCAGTCTACCCCCTCCAATCCTCTCAGTCGACACCCTCCAATCCTCTCAGTCTACACCCTCCAACCCTCTAAGTCTACACACTCCAACCCTCTCAGACTACACCCTTTAGCAATCTCAGTCGACACCCTCCAACCCTCTCAGGCCACATCCTCCAAACCTTTCAGTCTACACCTTCCAGCATACTCAGTACACCCTCCAACCCACCCAGTCTACACCCACCAAGCCTCTCAGGCCACCACCCCCCCCCCCCCCCGCCCCCCCCCCCCCCCCCCCTAGCCTCTCTGTCTACATCCTCCAACCTCTCAGTCTACACCCTCCAACCCTCTCAGTCTACACCCTCCAACCATATCAGCCTACATCCTCCAACCTCTCAGTCTACACCCTCCAACCCTCTCAGTCTACACCCTCCAACCCTCTCAGCCTACATCCTCCAACCCTCTCAGTCTACACCCACCAAGCCTCTCAGGCCACACACCCCAAGCCTTTCAGTCTACACCCTCAAACCATCCCAGTCTACACCCTCCAACCCTCTCAGTCTATACCCTCCAAGCCTCTCAGTCTTCACCCTTCAACCCTCTCAGTCTACACCCTCCAAATCTCTCAGTCTACACCCTTTAGCAATCTCAGTCTACGTCCTCCAACCCTCTCAGTCTACACCCTCCAACCCTCTCAGACTACACCCTTAAGCAATCTCAGTCTACCCTCCAACCCTCTCTGTCTACACCCTCCAACCCTCTCAGTCTACACCCTCCAACCCTCTCAGACTACACCCTTTAGCAATCTCAGTCTACCCTCCAACCCTCTCTGTCTACACCCTCCAACCCTCTCTGTCTACACCCACTAAGCCTCTCAGTCTACCCCCTCCAACCCTCTCAGTCTACACCCTCCACGCCTCTCAGTCTACACCCTCCAACTCTCTCTGTCTACACCCACTAAGCCTCTCAGGCCACACACCCCAAGCCTTTTAGTCTACACCCTCCAACCCTCTCAGTGTACACCGTCCAACCCTCTCAGGCCACACCTGAGCAATCTCAGTCGACACCCTCCAAGCCTCTCAGTCTACACCCTCCAACTCTCTCTGTCTCCACCCTCCGGCAATCTCAGTCTACACCCTCCAACCTGATCAGTCTACACCCTCCAAGCCTCTCAGTCTACACCCTCCAACCCTCTCTGTCTACACCCTCCAACCCGCTCAGTCTACACCCTCCAAGCCTCTCAGTCTACACCCTCCAACCCTCTCTGTCTACACCCACCAACCCTCTCTGTCTACACCCACCAACCCTCTCAGTCTACACCCTCCAACCCTCTCAGACTACACCCTTTAGCAATCTCAGTCTACCCTCCAACTCTCTCTGTCTACACCCTCCAACCCTCTCAGTCTACACCCTCCAACCCTCTCAGTCTACACCCTCCAACCCTCTCTGTCTATACCCTCCAGCAATCTCAGTCTACACCCTCCAACCCTCTCAGTCTACACCCTCCAACCCTCTCAGTCTACACCCTTTAGCAATCTCAATCTACACCCTCCAACCCTCGCAGTCTACACCCTCCAACCCTCTCAGTCTACACCCTCCAACCATATCAGCCTACATCCTCCAACCTCTCAGTCTACACCCTCCAACCCTCTCAGTCTACACCCTCCAACCCTCTCAGCCTACATCCTCCAACCCTCTCAGTCTACACCCACCAAGCCCCTCAGGCCACACACCCCAAGCCTTTCAGTCTACACCCTCAAACCATCCCAGTCTACACCCTCCAACCCTCTCAGTCTATACCCTCCAAGCCTCTCAGTCTTCACCCTTCAACCCTCTCAGTCTACACCCTCCAAATCTCTCAGTCTACACCCTTTAGCAATCTCAGTCTACGTCCTCCAACCCTCTCAGTCTACACCCTCCAACCCTCTCAGACTACACTCTTAAGCAATCTCAGTCTACCCTCCAACCCTCTCTGTCTACACCCTCCAACCCTCTCAGTCTACACCCTCCAACCCTCTCAGACTACACCCTTTAGCAATCTCAGTCTACCCTCCAACCCTCTCTGTCTACACCCTCCAACCCTCTCTGTCTACACCCACTAAGCCTCTCAGTCTACCCCCTCCAACCCTCTCAGTCTACACCCTCCACGCCTCTCAGTCTACACCCTCCAACTCTCTCTGTCTACACCCACTAAGCCTCTCAGGCCACACACCCCAAGCCTTTTAGTCTACACCCTCCAACCCTCTCAGTGTACACCGTCCAACCCTCTCAGGCCACACCTGAGCAATCTCAGTCGACACCCTCCAAGCCTCTCAGTCTACACCCTCCAACTCTCTCTGTCTCCACCCTCCGGCAATCTCAGTCTACACCCTCCAACCTGATCAGTCTACACCCTCCAAGCCTCTCAGTCTACACCCTCCAACCCTCTCTGTCTACACCCTCCAACCCGCTCAGTCTACACCCTCCAAGCCTCTCAGTCTACACCCTCCAACCCTCTCTGTCTACACCCACCAACCCTCTCTGTCTACACCCACCAACCCTCTCAGTCTACACCCTCCAACCCTCTCAGACTACACCCTTTAGCAATCTCAGTCTACCCTCCAACTCTCTCTGTCTACACCCTCCAACCCTCTCAGTCTACACCCTCCAACCCTCTCAGTCTACACCCTCCAACCCTCTCTGTCTATACCCTCCAGCAATCTCAGTCTACACCCTCCAACCCTCTCAGTCTACACCCTCCAACCCTCTCAGTCTACACCCTTTAGCAATCTCAATCTACACCCTCCAACCCTCGCAGTCTACACCCTCCAACCCTCTCAGTCTACACCCTCCAACCATATCAGCCTACATCCTCCAACCTCTC